GTCCTAGGCTTGTCGATCTTCTACCTCGAACGTTCCGGAGTTAACGTCCGCATCGCATTGCTTTGGTAGGTACACTCACTGCGGCCTTTTCAGTTCACAGGTGCATGATAGTCATGAGTGTGCCTCTATTATCCTTGAATCATTGGTCCACAATCTTCCAATACATTACAATTATCGTACCCATCGTTTTACAGTTTGAGTGCAAGATCTTCCAGTATATAGCACCTTAATTTGTTCTATAATCACAGGGGAGAAAATTGTGCGTCCTCAGGCTGCTCACAATGATTGATCAAAGCCTTCGATTCCGGGTCAACATCGCCTCCGGTATAGATGTCTAGCGATTCAGAGCAGGTCGACGAGCTAGCGCCATTTGTGCATAAATTCCCACCTGAAAGTCACGGCTGTGCTCAGACTCTCCGCTCAAAAGATGGCACTAACGCCATATGATTATACCACCTGTGAGAAACCAGCGCGCTCTCGAACCTTCTGGGAAAGATAAGAAAAACGACAGAGGGAGCGGAGGGGGGATCTGAGAGCGGGCGAATACGCGGAGGAGTACGCAAGGCGGCTAAAAGGAGGCCAGCAATGGACCGCGTGAGGTGCGAAGGGCCGCACGAGATGCATGCAGAATAATTAGAATTCAGTATGCAAGCCGTAACCGGCAGGAAAGTCTAGAATAGAGTTGAGTGGGATACAGAACGCAGTGGAACGCGATCAGGCTGTTTCCTCTGGAGAGCTCTCACGTGAGTGTCTCGGTATTTTGCGTTAGATCACGTGTCGACGCCACAAGGCCAGGGCCCGGCGGTGCGGAAATTCTAAATGTATCCACGAGCCAGCCTATGGCCTCTTACGGAGCGTCACAACATCCACGCTCGTAGGGCGACAGTACTTTTACGCATTGAGAATCATGGCCTTAAAGTTATTTCGACGGATATCGTGGTGTAGACTCTCTTCCGGAAGCTCCTAATCCTACCCTTTCTGGGAGGCCAACACTCAGTAAGTAGTGGTAATTCACTACATTCTTTTCTACGCAGAAGTCTGAAATGTCCTTATTTGCCAGAGTCTTGTACGTGGGTCTACCAGAGGAGAGTACTAGTAGCGGCGCTTTAAACAGTACGCACGTCGCGTGTGCACTCCCCGTTACTAGTATCGCTCATATAACGAGAGTTATGACACCTATTTGGAGTGGTTCATGAAATACTACCCCAGCGAATATCTCCTTTCCAACCTCCATACCTTCCAATCTGATTTTGAACACACTGGCGACGGGTTTTCCACTTTCATCCAGCCACTATTACGCCATCTCGCGTTGCGTCACTTCGGAGAGACTCGCCAGAACTCCATCAACAAAGTGCTTCCGATATGTTTGCAAACACTCGAGTCTCTGAAAGTCGTGACAGGAGGATTGGAGTTCGACGAATCGCAGATAATGCAAGGGACACCTCAGGCGATCTCCGAGATGTAGATGCTAACTGTCCTCCATGCCGGCGCTCTATTCCCAAACGGCCTGCCACTGTCCATTGCCGCTTCTTCCGACTGTCTTCCGTCAAGGCCACGATGTGACCAATCTAGGTCGCAGCTGAAGGTGCGGTGGACGAACAACGTCAGCATTAGATTTTCCTTCGAAGCCGCCAGGTTCTTGGCGCGTGCATTCCCTCGTGCAGAACCCGATGGACATGGAACACCAGGAGCGCCGAGGACATCAATACCATGAAGAATGTATGTGCGAAAGTGATGTTACAGGAGCTCGAGGTGATTGGCGCAACCAATGAGACTGTTTGGTTCCCTCCAACTGTCCGGAGCTAACTCGTGCCTAACAGATGGCTAGAAGTCGGGAATCGTTGTAATCTTGAGGAAGTGCTGCCTTCCATGGCTGGTAATCCCAGCTCACACTTGTTATCTGAGCAACACAAAGCGAAGGTCGGCGTGGTCTCTGCGGCTCTGTACGCATCCTTCTCTGAACTAGATGGGAACGAGCTGCGTTTGATATCAGGCAGAACCAGCGTGAACAGCGTGGTTCTGTTGTAGTTGTTTAAGCTTCTGAGGCTCGAGAGCTTATTGGTCCTAATTCCGCCTGTATCCTCGCTCGAAGACGTGGACGCGGTCGTGCCTGCAGCGACAACTGTCTCACATATCGTCCATGGCACCACATCAATATTCTTGGAATGTACTCTCACATGCGAAGCTCAGGGCGTCGATACGGAGACCGTTCAATAAGTTCATGCAACGAAGGGTACTTTCGCGAAAGGGATGAAAGGAAAATCTCCCAGTCATCAAGACTGGTATATCTGAAACCGTCTCTCCGCGAGATTACATGACCTGACATTGATGCCGACACTGGCCCGTGTCCAGGTAGAGCCTTCGGTACGCCAACATCCACCCAGGCATGAACGAAAGATTGACGAGACGTCCTCGGGGCCATACAAAACGAGGGCTGGCTCAGCGCTGGATTGCGTAAATAGAGGCTACAAAATTTTCATGCAATGATAGCATTACACATGACGTAAGTGAGAAAGGTTAAGATACCTAGAGCGCGCCAGATGTCAACAATATTATTAAAGCGAGAGATGAGGTGCGTACAGAGAGAGGTATTACGGTGTGCCAGAGGTGACGGCGTCCGACGGAGACGAAGACGTCAATGCTTCAAATTTATCTGTAGTCCATGGGATGTCTACGAGTCCGAGTTCGTAGATTGGGACGCTGGGACGCTCGCCGGCCTTCGGTCTCTGTTGTGAAGGCATAGTTATTGCTACGGTAAGATGTAATGCACCTATGTTGTTAGAGGGTGAAGATGCCGGAGGCGCCGGTGCTCGAGGACCCAATCCTCTGATCCACCGTCCAACCGCATCGAGCCGCCGGCGGTGCATCGACCTCGAAAATGGTCGAGCAGCGGGCTGAGAACCGGGGAGGGATATCTTTATAGGTTGCATAGAGGACACCGCAATTGGCTAAGAAGGAATACACAGCACAGCAATCGACAGAGGTGAATATTGGCTTCCGACCTCATCATATACGGGCATGCTCACCACGAAGCCATCCCACGCGTTTCTGCTCCTCCTCCCCGAGTTATGGATATACTCCCATAGCTTTGGCTTCTCTCCTAATGGTTTACGTCGTCTCGACCTCCGGCTCATGAACACAGGGTCGTCAGGGCCCGGAGGCGCAGCCTCTGTAGCCACCGCCAGTTGGCGTTGCCGTATGCGACGCAGGATACCAATGTGCCGGAGGAACAACATGGATAGGAGTCCTCCTGCGAAGATTCCTACTGCCAGGAAGGCAAGGACGAGTGCTGGAGAGCCAGTCTTGGAGAAAAAGCCAGAGGATCCCCCGGAGGCACCTGGCGTCGAGGTCGAGGACGATACCGGGACCGCCGACGGGGTGGCGATGACGATGGAGCTCCTCGGGGTCACAGGGAATTTAATCGACACTGATTCAGCCGTCATGCTCGACAGACGTCCGCTAGCTCGACCTTCTTGCCAGAAATTCAAAGGCTGGAGCCATGAAAGATGGGAAAAGGGAACAAAGTGTGTCGGCGCCAGGGTGTGCACATAGCTTCCTTTCGCCCACCACTCACCTTGGACTATTGTCCACGTTCAAAGCAAGGCTGGTTTGTTTTTGGTTGCGCAGGGCTTTGGGAAGTGTTCTAATGTTGCGAGGGGTGGATTAAGCTCGAACGACGTCACCATGCACGAACCCGGCCGTCTGACCGGAATCACGTACGGGGATCAGCACAGTCATGGACCACGCCTTGGACCACCACCACTCCTCGAAATCGCACAAATTCTCAGGCTTCAAAGCTACTTGAATTCGCAGGAGAAACTGTGACAGAAATATCCTTTCTGGTAGTATTTGCAGAGCAAAGATAGAAGACGAGGAGTTCGTATTCCGTGTTGAAGTATGCCTTTGCAGTTTGATGATACATTGATGGCCTTCTCGAAATTAGACCCCTGAGCTGAACTGGCCGGCAGCTCCGCTGAAGCTTGCAGGTATGTTTGTGGTTACATCGTGCTCGTCAGCTAGGGCAGAGATGGTGCGCTTCGTTCAACCGAGCTGCCGGACTGTGGACCGGAGGCGGGCGCTTCGTTAGATCAAAGCTGAGCACCCGCCAGGCGAAAAAGAGGTCATCAGAACCGCGGAAAGCCCTACCGCTGACGACCTCTCAATATTATAGAGATATGTTGGAATGCGCAATGGGAGTGTGGTATGTTCAGCGGAGCGTGCTCGACGAGTACGGAGATTCGAGAGTCTGGTGCACGAGGGAGAAATCGTGCATATGCCTCAACGGGGTCAGCTGGACCTACGGAGAAATCTACAGTCGGAGCTGGCCTTCTTCAGATGTTCAGCCTTGTTCAGCAGTGTGGCCCATATCAATTCGCGCTCTGCCCACGCGTTATCGACGGCACTAATGTACCGGATAGAAGACGATTGATCTTCTGACTCCTGGCAGTATATAAGGTCCTGTGTACGATGCTCAGCATGCTCCGCCGAGGCTTCGCCACGTTTGCTCCTTCTTTGTCTGCCCAGGATGCTGCCTTGGACCCTCGCTGCTCTCGCCCTTCCTCTCGCCGTACGCGCGCAAACATACAGCGCGACGTACCTGCCGTCAAATGTTCCCCCGACGACGGAACAGGGCCAGTCAGGCGCGAATCAATGCGGAACTGGTTTTAATCAGACGTCCGAGTGCCAAAACGTCTACAGTGCGTCGCTATCTCTATAGTGGCCCTTAATCTACTGACTATCTCTATGTAGTTAACGCAGTGGACGACTTTTGTATCTTTGGCCCGCCCGAGCCAGGTCCCGACTCTGTCATTGGCAACACCGAGCGCATCGAGGTCTCCTGGTGTATCAAGTCTGGTTACGGGACTCGCATCATCCCCGACGGTGCCATCGCCGGTGCGCACTTCGTGCAAACCCCAGATTATGTCCAAGTCACGGGCGTCGGCGACCTCACCATGATCAACATTCCTCAGGGTGACGCAGGCGGCGAGCTCGATCCACATGGTGCAGATGGGAACGGGAACCCAATCGGCGGGCTCGTCTTCTCGCAGGCGTTTGGGCAGCTTGAGCAGCTGCACGAGTGGACCAACTTCGTTGCTTACAACGAGTTCTGCATCCGCGGCTGCAAGGACGGCCCAAACGCGCCCACGCTCTGCCAGCATATCTACGATGTTATGGGCTGCTTTTGGAATATGCCCGCCAACTATGATACCAGTGTCTTTGAAGACTGCCTTGGAGACACGGCCTTGCCCATGGGCGTGTATGGCACGTCGACCTTCTTCCAGGGCGACCCAAGCACCCCACCGGCACACCCTGCGCCGCCATCCTCGCAATGCACCTCGTTCAGTACAATCGGCAATCTTGCTGTGAGCACATCTGCAGGCGTGTCCTCTGCGCCTGCCTCTGTAAGTGCGCTTTCCTCTGCCCCAAGTTCTGTCGCTTCGTCTACTGCTCCACCTGGTGCTTCTGCCTCCTCGTCTTTGCATGCGTCTGGCAGCGCGTCCTCAGCATCTAGCTCGAGAGCTGCTGTGACTTCGTCGGCCATCCCGTCATCCGTAGCTGTGAGTCTCCATCATGCTGATCCACCGGCCGCTTGGTTTCGTTCTTGTGATTCTTGTGTGCAGCTGTGTCAGTTGTGTCTCTGCGCATAGGATCGGACGGCTGGTCCCCTCGCGATTGTGGACCTCCCTCCCTGCTGCGGATGTGGGCTCGTTGAATTCGTAGCACATCAAGGATCTCTACCTGAAGGTGTAGCCCAATTACGACAGCCGCTTCGCACTCTCCGTGCTCTGGGACCAGCAAAATGGCACGATTGTGAATAGCGAGTGCTCGAAGATCATCCGCATTTACAACTGCTCCTTCAACTTCAAATGCAACATCCGCATCATCCTGGACGGACGGCTGAACTTGCACCGCCGGATGCGCAAGCTCTACTAGGGCAGCGCCGCGTTCAAAGACACATGGAACTTTGAGCACATCAAGATGTACTACTTCTGTTTGCACCTCTTTATGACTGTCCCTTTCGCGCACAAGTGTCGCGAATAGGTAACTACGGTCGAGTACAGATCCATCTGCCCAGGATTATTACCGTTGGCCCTATTCCGGGTATCCCTCTTGACGCCTGGAGCCACGGGCACGACAGACAAAGAATGTAAACATAACACAATCTGCAGTAGTCATCAAATGTAATCAAACGCATCCCTGTTACTCCAGGGTGAACATCCCCCACGCAGTTGGTCTTAAGCTTGACTGGCCTGCTTGTCCCTTGGCCTTCGCACCAATTGCAGCAAGGTAGATCACATTCTAAATGTGTAGCCTCAGATCTAGTGCGGATCTCCTTGCATCATTACAGGGTAACTGAGATAGAATTACAAAAACTGGTACCATCCGGACTAGCGAAGAGAAGAGACGGGTATGCCTGAAGCCCTAAAGTAAAGAAAGGTACTGAACTCCGTGCGTAATGTCATGAGAGTCGTAACGAGAATTCGTGATCAGTCCAACACGAACGTCCAACGTCTTCGGGCCATACATGCGCTTCCAGGACATATGCGCGCCTTAGAGCGCGGCCATGCCTCCAGCGACGACGCCAAGCGCTATGACGAGCATCTCCCATCCGACGCGGACAGTATTTGCCCCGTTTGCCGCGCCTGTGGGAGACGGTGTGCCGCTCGAGCTTCCGCCAGACGTGCGAGACGCACCCGAGGTCGTCGGCGTCGAGCTCGCGGACTACATGATGTGAATGTAAGCGTACAGAGCTTGAGTTTCATGAGTACGAGCGCAACCGCGCCGAGAGTTCAACATACAGATGAAGTTCTCCATACTTTTCAGTTGACTGACAATCGAAGTGCGCGTAGCTTAAGCTGTCAGCGCGAAGATTGGTCATTAGCCTGCGAGAGCTAGCGTAGAGAGACGTACGGCACACGTACGATATATATGGCTGGTAGCGACCTAGGATAGTAGCACGTTAGGGCAGCACTCAGATGGGGCCAAAGACTGATACTCGCCTTTCTCGAGAGCAAACTCTCCATGCCCTGAATAAAGCTCCTGAATATCGACGCCTTTCGCTCGAACGAGCCGTCTTCTTCAGTCTTCATGTTGATGATGCAGTATCCGCCTGCAGTTCATGCGGCCTGCCGCTAGCGGTACTCTGTGCGAGCTTGTCGACAGACTCGTCCTTAGCTCCTGGAGGCTGAGCCTCCTAGTGCTGGAGCATGCATGTTCATTCTGGCTGCGGTCCTGGCAGTGCGAAGTGCAATTATGCGAGGGTTTTGGAGGATGTGTCGACGTATGTCTAACAGGATATGTCGCAGGCGGATAGTGGTCGCACAACGCCTAGCGAGCTCTAGGGCTCTGAAAGCGTGGGTATCCTGAGGACGTCATACTGATTTGTCACAACTTGATGCCTTGCGGGTGCAATCGCGGGTATAGACGCCTGACAGCTGGTCCCCCGCTCCTTCAAGTATACAAGGCGACTAAGTCACCTTCCATTGCAATCTGTTCAGAGAAAAATCATGGCGTGTGTGTATGCCAACTCTCGGAAGAGGCGAATTGGCCTCTGAGGCCACCAGATGTCGGAAGTGGTAGAGTGGGAATATATCTGGGCTGGCTCTATGGCTGAACGAGAGATGCTCGCAATGGACGAAGTTCGAAGCCGATGGGTGTAGTCCGCAACGACGAGTTCAAAAGACTAAAATCCACATTACGAAGGAAGAGCCGGTCGAGCGCAGCGAAGTGACTCCATTGTAATTCAGACTGAGAAGAAATCCGGACAGCGTAGTGACTTTTTAGGTACTTGTCGTTCAGAAAGCGATATGACTATGCCTGATAGTGGTCAGAATCTTCTCGTGTCAAGCTCCTTTCGCGGTAGCCGTGCAGCGACACAGGGCCCCAAACCTCCGAAAGGTTCGGCCCGTGCTTGTTGAAATTTTAGGTTTACCTCGATATTATATCTGTATAAAAGAAAACCATTCTCTACCGAGACTAGTCTCTTGACCGGGAGCCTTCACATCGTATCAATGGTACTAAATTCAAACCAGATAACACCGTACGCACTTGAACACTATCTACCATTAAACAGCCTTGCAGGACCGCTTGTGTACCTTCCAATTGCTGGTTTGGCAGTCGCTACTGCAATATGCGGCCTTCTTGCACCGGCTACAGACCATGGGTCTATCTGCTGTGATGGTAATTTTGCACGCACCGCAGCGGGACACATCCGGCTGCCGGCTGCCAGAGCTTGTAGAGGACGGCGCTGTCTCGCGTGCACGGCTAGCAACGGTAGCAGTACCGGCAGTTTTCCCGCTATTCACCAAGGCCTTCAGGCCGCCGGCGACAGACTCGAGGAACGAGACGGCGAAGAGCGGACTGAGCGCGATGCGTGTGACGTACGGCAGGAAAGGCGTCCATTCCTTCCGGACGCGGAAGGCATCGCCCACCTTTCCTTGCCCGCACGCACAGATCGGGACCTCGCCGTGCTCAGTCGAGAGCGGGACGCGCCCACGTGGCGCAGCGTACGCGCACTTGGGCGTGTGCTCCCATGTTCGGCAGCGCTCGGCGAGGCTTGGAAGGAGGTACTTCCACGCGATGCATTCCTCGGCACTGACATTCACCTGACAGAGGTCGCGTATCCCGGCGAGGCGGGGCCCAAGCTTGTGAAGGAAACTCAGGTGCAGCGGTAGGGCGTAGGCATCAGCCAATATCGTATGTGCAGCAATATCAAGACGGATGTCGGTAATGAACAGGAGCGTATCCACGCCCCCGCCTGAAGTGCGATGCAAACCAAACACAGAGGTCTTCTTGGGGCCCTGAATCCCAACCGCCTGTACGAAGATGCTGTGCATTGAGTCCTTAACGTGTGTAAGAGCTTGCATGGCCCCCGTTTCTCTCGAAAGCTTTTCAGCATCCGAGAATGCAAGACTAACGTGAGTGTTGATCCACTTTAGTCGGTCCTTGGGTACGTCGGCGGTCGATAAAGAAGGTAGCCGGTCAAGATTGACTCTGTGTATCGTCCAGGGAAAGGGTTTACGCTCATGAATGGCGACCGGAAAGCGGGTTCCAATAGGCGCGCCTTTGCGACCCAGCAGACAAGGAGTTGCGACAATCTTTGTATACATGTCAGGTGAAGCTCTTGCAGTGTGAAACGAATCGCATATTCGCACCTCAATCCAAGACGACTGACGAGCAATGCGAAGTTTTGCTTGAGTCGCGTCGACAGGAAACGGAAAACCCAGTTTCTCGTGATGCGCAGAGCCTATCGAGAGCTCTACTTCACAGGCTCCAGCTTGAGTGATTGTCACTGGAGTGTCCTTCGAAGCGAGCGCGGTCTTCGCCTTCGGTTCCTTGATGTCCGTCCGCCTTGTCATTTTGTCCACTTTCGCCCCATCTGCAGTTAAAGACACTGGCGCAGACGTCGCCGCGCATTCAGCCCACGACAGGTGAGGGACCGCAGCGTTAGTGCCGTCGACGACGGTCGGCCTGCTGCGGAGCACGCTCACAGCCTTCGCGTCCATCAACCGTGCCTCATAGATCACCAGCCGCAGGCCGAGTTTCTGGACCAGCACCGTCGTAGAAGGCGTGCTCACGATAACAAGACGAACCATCGTCGCGGCGGGGTCGTGCGCGAGCATCCACGCAGGCACGCATACAGACACAATGATGTCCGCATCGCCTGCCTTGCCTCGCGGGTCCTCGGTGATGACGGCCTGTGCGTATTCTCCACCACCGTCGATAGACAGCGAGCCGAACGCGGTCTCGATGGAACAGAAGTAGTTCGACACCACATTACTTCCGAACTCGACAGCCAGCATGGGGTTCCCGGGCGCGTCTTCTTCTTCGAGGGGCTGGAGTTTGGCCCGCGGAACGGCGAACGCGACGCAGATGACAGGTGGGACCGAAACCCATTCACGGAATGGTCCGGAGTTCTTGTTCATTACAATTCGCGGGTTCCCGGGAAGGAGCGTATCGGCTGACCAGATCTGCAGGAGGTGTAGCTGCGTTATAAGGTCTTGATAGTAGTTCATCCCCATGAGAAGCGTGCTGTCACTTGCGAGATGCTGCTCGAATAGGTCGAGGACTTGATTCCAATCGACACTGATGCGGCCCATGAGGCAGTGCACGAGCTGTGCGAGGCTTCGGCGGCAGTAGTGAATGCGTTCGAGGGACTGTACTGAGGCGATCGATAATTTCCTTCGGAAGAAATCTGCGACATTCTCGTGGGCAAACATTCTGCGGTAGATGTCGAAGAGTAGGGAAGCGAACTGTGAGGCGTCCAGTGCCACCGGACGAGAGTTCCCGCCTAAGAGTTGGGAAGGAACTTTCCAGATCAACCGTTCATGGTACTGCGCACTGTTATCGCGAACGTGGAACCCCAGTAGCTCGTGGATGTTGGATTGAGTGTTATAACCCGACAGGTATGCTACGGGGGTGACATCAAAGAGCAAAGACATAGTTGTTACGTCTCCACAGAGGCTGTCGGCGAAAGATACAATAGGATCTTCGCCTGAGGTGAGAAGTGACTCTGTGTATAACGCAGCTGACGGCGTTCGTTTCAGCAATGGGACGGTTACGACCAGGGCATTGACGTTCCCAATATGGTCGAAAAGGTTTGAGGTGTCAATGACGTCGAATGTGAGAGGTGCAGCGCCGGTCGAGTAGCTCTTGCCATCCAACGTCAAGAGAGGAGCTCTCCAAGGGCATACGCGAGGATATACGGAAGGATCGCTCCGCGCTGCGGTAAGCTGCAGGGCTTGGCAGAAAGCAAGAGCGTCAGCGACCACGACCCTGATCTTGATCTTGTCGGTGGGATCTTGCACGCAAACATAGAACGCTTCGCACCAAGCGCGAAATTGTCCCCTGATGCCATCGTAGACTTGGCTCAGAGGCGTCTGACCTCTCACATTTGCCGTTGCAAAGATGGGGGCGAGGTGGAAGGCGGCGAGGGGGTTCGTACCGTAGTGGGCCATGAACCCTTCACCGCCCATGGCATAGGCGAATGTTGGATTCACTTCCGTTGCAGTGCCAATATCGGATTGAGAAGTGAATGTGGTGCCGGTCTGCCAAAATGAATGGGACGCTTCGATGCTGGACGACATGGCTATCAGGGCAGCTGGACCGGCAGAGCGAGAAGCGGTCATGTCAGAGAAGTTCTTCTTGTCCGTTCGAATCTTCTCCATCCCGAACGAGAACTGCTCACTAAACTGTGCCCGACGAGCGGACGAGAATGACTTCGTTTGGGAGTACAGTAACCAGTGGCGATGCAGCTCGCCCAGGGTGAAGCTATTACTGATCTCGAGGAAGCGCGAGTACCCGGATTGTTCCCACGTCTCCAGATCCACAGAGACGTTGGCGAGTTTGTCGGTTTGCGAATGTAACAGGGCAAGGGAGGCGTCGTTTAGAAAGAAGTGGTAGAAGATGTTCCAGATAGCGTCCAGTCGCTTGGCATATTCACCATCGGCGATGAACGTGAATAAGAGAATGTTCCGGGCTAAACGAGCTAAGTAAATGGTTTTCCATAGATAAGAGCGGCGTACCGACGATGGCGGGCTCGATGTCACAACAGGTAAAATCCAGTTTTCGCTTCGCTGTACGTTTTCGTTTAAGCTGCGCAAGTCGTTAGGCGTCCAAGAGATGCGTACTAGGTGTTTGGTCGACCCCACTTGCATGAATCGTATACAATATACTTCTCGGGTCTCCACAGCCGAGCAACAGGATATCAGCGTCATCTTCAGGTGGGACGTGTTGAAGAAGGGAGATTGGAGATGTATTGCCGACAGGGTAGAAGAAAGTTTTTGCAGGCCAATAGACGGTATGGGCCATAGTTACTTCTCCTGCTACAGCAGGTGGTGGTTAGAGATCAACAGACGGTGAACGCACCACAATTAACGACCCCCTGTCCATATCAACGCGCCTAGCTAAGCTTTACACGTGTTTGACAAGACCCACACTTTTAGGGTAAAGGACTGGCTTTCTAGTCTCTAACTCGCCAGCGAGAGTGAAGGCAGGATGCTCAAACGTTCATAAGATAAAGCCCAAGATTCTGATCCTGAGCGTGAGCGCGCTCTGCTTGCATTCTTACCGTAAGTATGTACACTGGTTTACACCGAATGTAACGCGTCTTCGCTTGTCCAGCTACCCCACAGGTTGTGCGACAGATGCAACTAAAATCATGATAGTGTTGAGCGAGGTGGCGTGTCAGTCAAAGTGCAAAGCGAGAATGACTACAGCCTTAGGTAGGACGCTTATATGGCGCGGTCACGTGATTTTGTGTGGTTAGCGTCAGGTGGCTTGACGGAGAATGCCGAAAAGATGACGAAGAGCCTCCGCAGAGCCCCCATGCTCACGAAAGAAGAGAGAAAATAACCACACGACTCACACATGTCAGAGAGCCACAGGCTCTATAGACAACAGCTGACTCAGTAAAGCGGCTTTCCATGTTAAAATTAGCAATATGCAAATTACAACAACAAAAAAGATTTCAGCAGATTACTACAGCATCTGCCATAAGCCTCGGATAGTTATTAGATGGTTTTGCAAGTCTGTTTGTGTACCCTCCAATCCTTGCTCTGGCATTGTCGACTACAACATGTGACAATTTTACACTGGCTGCAGACCACAGGCCTGTCTGCCGTGATGACAGTCTTGCATGCGTGTAAGGGCTAGGGCACTAACCCTCCCCTTGTAGGATGACAGGCTTGGTGGCGCCTGATGCCATCAGTGTGCCCACCCACCTCATCAGCCTGGGCTCTTGACACCTTGTGTGTCTCGTGTTTCGTATCCCCTCCTTTGTTCCTATTCCTTTTATCCTTTGACTCCTTATGACTTCCTTCGACTCATCCTGGCTTTCTTCAGATCCGTCTCGGCTCCTCATTATGACTTAGGGTAGGATTTCTAGTATATATAGGCATAGATACAATGGTGTATGGTAGTTTTTCGAGAATCAAAACTTACCCCACTCTTTCTCTGGTGTGATAACCTCTCACAAGCTCAGATTCTCATCCCTGAGGTCCTGCAATGTAGCCGCTGACTCACTGATTACTCAACTCATCAAGCGCCTATCAAAGCTGAATCTTACAACGTGCCACAGTGGACTACATCTGCCTGCCCACCGCCCGCAGATACTGATTCACCTACCAAACTGGCAGCAGACCCCACTGCCTTCGCAATTTCTGTCATGCCCTTCATGCGCACACCAACGGGTTCAAGAAATGGAATGGCGCCATCAGGAAACAGGACTTGGTCCGTAGTGCTCC